ACAGGACCTGACAGAATCCTAATAGTTTTGATTAAGCTCTGAAGGACTGGGGTGCCTGGGTGGCTCAGTCTGTTGTCTGACTCTTGATTAATTTTGACTCAGGTCATAATCTCAGGGTTGTGGGATTGAGTCCCATGTCAGGCTCTTTGCTCAGCACAGGGTCTGTTTGAGTTTTCTCCCTCTGCCCTGCCCCCTGTTGGCACATGGGCTCTCCCTCAAATAAATAAATATTAAAAAAAAAAATCCTCAAAGATTAAACAACAAAAATAAGAATAAACCAGGGACATAAACTCAACTCACAATTAGCTCATCTCTAGCTGCCTACAACAGTGAAAAGTAAATCTCTGGGAGAAGATAACAGCATTCAAAGACTCAGGAGTATTTCTACAGGGGTGCCTGGGTGGCTCAGTTGGTTGAGCGACTGCCTTCAGTTCAGGTCATGATCCTGAAGTCCCAGGATCTAATCCCGCATCGGGCTCCCTGCTCGCAGGGAGTCTGCTCTCCCTCTGACCTCTCCACTCTCACGTTCTCTCTCTCTCTCAAATAAATAAATAAAATCTTTTTTAAAAAAAGAGTATTTCTACATTTTTTCTTAACAATGTCAATCCCTCAGTAAAGAAATATTCAAGAGGACGAGAAGGCACAATGTGACCAAAACCTGAGAGAAATAATGTAAAATGGAAACAAATCCACAGAATATTCTGATATTAGGGTTATCAGACACAGACTTTAAAATAACTAAGATGATGGGGCGCCTGGGTGGCTCAATGGGTTAAAGCCTCTGCCTTTGGCTCGTGTCATGATCCCAGGGTCCTGGGATTGAGCCCCATATCGGGCTCTCTGCTCAGCAGGGAGCCTGCTTCCTCCTCTCTCTCTGCCTGCCTCTTTGCCTACTCGTGATCTCTGTCAAATAAATAAATTTTAAAAATCTAAAAAAAATAAAATAAAATAACTAAGATGAATACATTTAAGGAATTAAATTATAAGAGTTCAACAGAGAATTGGAAACTATTTAAAAAAGAACCAAGTGGAAACTCTAAGCTGCAAAACGAAACAGGTGATATTAAATACTTAACCAGGTTAGGTAAACAGTGAATTAGACATAGTTGAAGAGAAAAATAGTTTCTGCTAAAAATTTTTTTGGTATTATACCAAATCTGTAAATCAATGTGGGAAGAACTGACACTTGCCAATTTCTGAACATGTCATCTCTCCATTTATTTAGGTTTACTTTCTCTAGGAATGTTTTGTAGAATTCAGTGTACAAGTCTTGAATAACTTTTATCAAATTTATACTTAAGTATGTAATATTTTTGATGCTAGTATAAATAGTATAAATGTATATGTTCATATATATTATATTCATGTATAAATGAAATATATTTTATATAATATATAAATGAAAATGTAATATTTTTGATGCTAGTATAAATAGTATAAATGAAAAATATTTTTTCTTCATTTTGATTTTTTTTTTAGTATATATAAATGCAACTGATTGTGTGTGTGCACAAAAAGATGGTTTTATTAAAGCATGGGGACAGGACCCTTGGGCAGAAAGAGCTGCACTGGGGTTGTGAAGAATGGCTGATTATATAGTTTGGAGTTGGGGGACAACTGATCAGTACACTGACCATGTATACAGCAACGTTGTTACTAATTTTAGAATTTTTATATATTCCATACGTTTTCTGTAGAGTTCAATATGTCATGTGTGAGGAGATTTTTACCTCTTCCTTTATAATTTGAATGGTTTTTCTTTTTCTTGACAAATTATCTTGGTAGAAACTCCAATATATGTTTAATAGAAGATAATGGACTTCCTTGCTTTGTCTCTGATCTTAGGGGGAAAACATCGTGTCTTTCAACCTTAAGTATGAGGTTAGCTGCAGGTTTTTCTTAAGATGCCCTTTATCAAGAAAGTTCTTTTATTTTTCTTTACTGAGTTTTTATCAGAAATCAATGTTGGGTTTTGTCAAATGCCCTTTTTGTATTTATTGAGATGATCATATGGTTTTCCTATGTTAGTCTGTCAATAATTATATTATTTTCTAATGTTAGCCCAAATTTGCATTAACATATACCTCACTAGTTCATATATCATCCTTCTTACCCATCATTAAATTCAAATTGCTAAACTTTGTTTAGAACTTTTGCATCTGTGTTTGTGATAAATATTGGCTTGTCATTTATCTTCTGATTTTGGTATCAGAGTAATGCTGGTCTCAAAGGAGGAGTTGGGAATTATCTCTTCTATTTCATGCATATATTTGTTGAGAATTGGATTTTCCTCCTTAAATATTTGAAAGATTTCACCAGTGTGGTTAGGTTTGGCATTTTCCATCAGAAATATTTGTAGGGATGCCTGAGTGGCTCAGTAAGTTAAGCATCTGACTTGATTTCAGCTCAGGTCGTGATCTCAGGGTGCTGAGATTGAGCTCAGTACAGAGTTGGCTTGAGATTCTCTCTCGCCCTCTGACCCTCCTTCCACTTGCATGTGCTCTCTTTAAAAAAAAAAAAAAATTGTAGAATCTGTAGTCCTTTCTCTCATTCCTAATATTGGTAATTTGTCTTCTTTTTTTCAAAGTCTGACTAAAGATTTATTGATTGTATTGCTCTCAAAGCGTTAGCTTTCAGTTCCACTGACTTTCTCAATGGATTTTGTTTTCTATTGCATTGATTTTTTTTTCTAGTCCTTTTTCCTTTCGTTTGTTTGAGTTTCACTGGCTATTATTTTTCTAGCTTAAGGTGGAAGCTTCAGTCCTTGATTTGAATTTTCTAATATGGACATTTATTTTCATATTTAAGCCATCTGTCTTTATGTTTAGATAGGTTTCATGGATTCAATATCTACCTGGATTAAAAAAAACTCAATCTGAGCAGGGTAACGAAAATTAACAGTTAATGTAATTATTGATATTGCTGTTTAAAATCTACCATTTTTTTTTAATATACTTTCTCTTTGTCCCATTTATTCTTTGTCTCCCTTTCTTATTTTTCTTCCTTCTTTTGTATTATTTTTTGTGGCTACATTTTATGATCTTTGTTGGTTTATTAGTTATGGCTTTTTATTTTTGCTTTAGGGCTGACAGTACATATTCTTAACTTATCACAGTTTACTTTCAAGTAATATTACACTATCTCACAGTTAGTGTTAGAACCTTAGAGTAGTATATGTAGGTTCCCTCTGCCCATCCTTGATACTATTGTCAGAACTTCCATTTTACTTATGTTAACCACACAACATCTTACCATCATTTTTCCTTTAAACATTAATTATCCTTTAAGGACAATTTAAAATGGAAAAAAAAAAGCCTTACATTTGTTCATATATTTACCATTTTCATATCCTGGTTACTTTCTATAGAAATATATTTCTATCTGGTACATTTTCCTTCAAACTAAAGGCATTCTTTAACATTTCCTATACAGCAAGTCTGCTTGTGATGAATTCTTTCAGCCTTTCAAGGTCTGAGAAGTTTTTACTTTATTTTCATTTTTGAAAGATATCTTCGCTGGATATAGAATTCAAAGTTGAGTATTTTTCTTCCAGTACTTTAAAGATGTTACTCCACTGTCTCTGACAGTCTTGTCTTTGTTCTTCTGTGTCTTTTAAATTTAGCTGCTTTTAAGAGTTTTCCTCTGAAACCAGTTTTAACAAATTTGATTATTACGTATTTTGGTATAGTTTTATTTCCTGTACTTAGAGGTTCATTGGGTTTCTTGGGTCTCATTTGTTTCCCTCTCTCAGGGAACACTGTCCTGTTTTGCCTAATACCATATTTGAAAACTGTCTCATATTTTGCATTTTTAGACTTTCAAATAGGTAAATCCAATCTCTTATTCCATTTTGGCCAAAGGCAAAAGTTCAATTTAGACTTCTCATTTTTATCATATAAAAATTTTATTTTTTGTACTTAACTTTTAAATTCCATGACAAAATGTTTCATCCATATGTATACGATTACTAAAATTGTTTTATTTATCCTACCTCTTTTAATACACATCATGTGCATTTACAGAAAAAGGCAATAGGAAATATTAATGGACTTAAATACAGCCTGTAGGCAGAACACACTTTTACGTTTTCTAAACCTGTTTGATAATGATATATAAGGCAACTTGTTACAAATCATAATGCTTCCAATAATGTGTCAGGAAAAAAGATCACATCAGCACTCATTTACACTTCAACACAATCGTATTCTCTGAGCCACACTGGGAAAAAGTAATATTTCTGTTTTTATTTCCTGAAGTAATTATTAGTACATTTATGCTTATTAAATATATCCTTAAAACTTCCACCACTTTGGAAAATCATAAAGTTAGTAAGCTAGCTAGATTTCCTTTTTATTTTAGTAAATATTTTTATTTCAGAAGTCAAACTGGGTAGGAGTGCTGTATACAGGGTATATAGTTTAAATCTTTGGGACAAGAGACTACAAGAAGGTAAAGAAGCCAGAAGCCCTCCTAATCTTGTATCACCAAGACTGTATATCATAGCGGGTAGATGTATAGATACATCCACCCATACCAGAGAGCTGTGAATTCTTTTGACAGTTAACCTTTCTAAATTTCATAGTAAGGTCAGTAACATAAAAACATTATACACAGCACACAAAGAATTAGGAAAGTTAATGATATAAACCACAAAACAAAATAATTCACACTTCTCATTTGGAAGGGGAAAAATGGGACTAATACTGAATACTTAGCATCTAATAAAACATTTTCACTGATTATAAGTTGAATCATGTTGATTAAAACTTTACAGAATAACTTTGCATGTTATTAATTCATAAGATAATCAGCAGATATGCAGTTCTAGTCAAGTTTTATAAGCTTCTAAACGTTTTCATAGGTAAAGTGAAATTAGCTAAAAAATACCAAACAGGAGTAGAGATTTGTGAGAAGTACAAAACATATAAATGCAATAGATATATAATAATCTGTGCAATCCAAAATTCCCAAAATTCAAGTAATAAATAATAGTCATACTTGACCTTATCAAGTTAAAATAATTACTAACCAACCTTGTGTTTTACTAGGCAATTGCTTAGAAATACCAACTGCCATTTAAAAATTGCTTTCACCATAAAAATAGAAGGCGTATCAAACTCTTTAATCCTCAAACATCCAAAAAAATTTGGAAGGCAACTGTCAATCAAAAATATTATTTGCTAAAAAAGGTGATTAAAAAACATACATAACGTATTTTTTTCGCACAATTTTCATTTCTTACGGAAAAGGGCACTTAGTGTATAGCTAAAGCTTTCAGAAATTAAAGATCCTGTTGACTTTCCTGTTAAACAGATGACATGTTGTACAGTTTTTAATATAAAAATATAAATATCTTTGACAGAGAAGGTGAAATAGTGGTTGGTATAAAATCCCATCACCATTTTACTTGAAAAAAACTTTTTTCCCAGAGACCATGAAAACAATACTGATTCCATGCAGTTCTGTCACCAGAAGCTTCCCAAATTATCATTAAGGTATTCACTGAAATTTCAAAAGTGGGCCCGCAGTCTTTTGTTTTCTTCTCGTAGTCTTTCAATTTCAGCCACTAAACCTTCATTCACTGAGTATCTTTCCAGCAAAGAGTGCATTTCATTCTAGAAAAGAAAAAAAAAAAGCTTTTTAAATCACTGGTATTTCACATTTATTTGGGAAGCTGTTTTGCATAATTTCAGCTATCATTTCTGTCATGTCCAATTAACCAGCTGAATGGTATTTCTTGTATTTAACCATCCTCACTACTTTGTTAATATAAACGAAAAATCACTGGTGAAAGTTATATATTTGGAAGGCTTAGATTTGCACATGTGGGAAGCTTTTAGCTTACTTATTTAAATAAACAAATAAATAAAAGCTGTGTAAAAGTAGCCTTAACTATAGGTTAAAAAGAAGGGTGACTATTTTACTTACTGAATTTCTAAAACTCTGTTTATTTATTCTAGCAACTAGATATAATAAAGTAAAAATATATCACTCTTTATTTTTAGATCCACAATTCAACACTCATTTAAAATAAAATATGTCATACCTACCAATTGCATGTGAAACTGTTTAATCATCTCCACTTGCAAATTCACAATGTCTCTATGGCATGCTTCTCTAGGGAAGAATATAAAATACTTGTTAGAATTATAATGGTTTTGCCAATTCTAGACCATTCAAGAAACTGCTAAACTTCCCATTGTTTCAAATTATTGGATGTTAGTAATAATAATAGTAATAATAACAACAATAATAATAAAAATACCAATGCACTTAGAATTTATTTACTATGTTGTAGGCACTGTTTCTTGTACTTTGAATGGTAGAACTCATTTAATTTTTACCATCAGGTGCAATTACCACCACCATTTTACCAATGAAGGAACTGAGCCACAGAGCAGTTAAAACTTATCCAATCAGACAACCAGTAAATGGTAGAGCTAGTGTATGAACCCTGGCTGTACACATACCTCCAGAACTCTCATACTACACATCCCTTAATATAGAAATTATCATTAAGACAAGACACAGGTTCATATTACAGTGAAATACACATAATTTACTAGGTTACAATGTTTTGAATATTATCAATGTTTTAGCTATTAAAAAAATACTTCTAGGAGAATGGAAAGGGTTATTTGGGTGCTTATAATAAAGGTTAATAAATGCAATTCATTCATGCCTACAAAATACATGAAAATCAGGAAATAAAAAGGATCATTCAGTCACCTACCACACAACTTACGAGCTAGAACACTACCAAAATCATAGAAGCTTCCTATGTGTTCCTCTCTGATTCCATCACTTAACTTAGGAGAAGCCCAAGAAAGAAGTCACTACTCTGTTGAATTTTGTTTAAGCAAAGAAATGTTTTTTAAAAAAAACCTGTCTAACATTGAAGTTGTAGTCAATCTATTTCTGCTATGCTTGGTTTTGAGCATTATAAAAATACCACATTCTATGTAGTACTCAGTAGTGTACACTTAAAAAAATAACCCAATATCCTGTTTTCAACATTCATATTCTATATATCCGTAAGTCACTGATTTGTATGTATACAAATGATTGTATACAATCACATATGTATTTCCCAACCCACATGCACCCATAACTATAGAAGATAGCAAGAGTAGATATGCTGAGTTAAAGGTATGATCCAGATGTATACTTGTTTAGTTTTACAAAATAATACAAAAATTTATGTGCTGAAGTGGTAGTATCAGTGGACATGCTTGTCATCAGTGTAACAATACCTGCTGTTCGTTCTGTAACCACACCAAGACTTGGGTCTTGCCAGACTTATCACACCTTCCCATCTAATGAGTATGATATAGTATCCTGTTGCATTTTCAGTTCTCTGATTAACCACAGGATTGAACATCTTTCCTTATGTTTGTAGACAACTCCTCTTCTGTGAAATGCTTGTCCATGCTTTTTAACCTTGTTTTTCTATTGAATGTCTTTTTTTTAAAGACTTTGAGAGAGAGAGAGAGAGAGAGCACAAGAAGGGGGAGGCGTAGAGGGACAAGCAGACTCCCCACTGAGCAGGGAGCCTGATGCAGGACCCGATCCCAGGATCCTGGAATCATGACCTGAGCTGAAGCAGACACTTAAGTGACTGAGCCCCCCAGGCACCCCTTGACTGTCTTTTTTTCTTATTTATTTCTAAGAGTTCTTTACATCATCTGATTCTTTGTTGGATCCTTTGTTGGAGTACTACAGATAGATTTTTGTCCTTTCACTTTGTTAATGGTGTCTTATGATGGGCAGTCCTTGTCAACATTCTCTAATTACTGATCTAATATTACAATCAAATTTGCCAATCTATTTTTATAGGTAGTGTATTCTCTTATGTTTTTGATAACTTCCCTACCCTGAAGTCATAATTCTCCTATAATGCCTAAAATTTTACCCTTTAAACTTTTATGCTGGGTAGAATTGATTTTTTTTAATAGCAGGGAATAGGGATCTATACTTTTCCTCTGTCATATATCACATTTCTATATATGCCCAGGCTTTTCCTCTGGTCTATTGGATTCCTTTGGGCAATCTGTCCATCCTGTGCTAATGCTACACTATTTTGTAGCATTCATATTATAGCTTAATAATTAAGCTTACCCATCTGACAAATAAGTCAGCTTCAACTTTGTTCTTCTCTAGAGTGTCGTGGTTATTCCTGGGTCTTTTCTTCTTCCACATAAATTTTGAAGTTATCCTATCACCATCTTCCAAAAAACACAGCTGGAATTTGATTGAAATTGCACTCAATCTATAGACCAATTTAAAAGAACTGACATCTTCATATCTTCCCATTTAAGTGTTAATGCTTTCCAATAAATTTTTAAGTGTTTTTCCACAAAGATCTTTACCATCTTTGGTCAGATTTATTCCTAAGTACATTTTCTGTTACAACTATAAGAGGTGGTTTTTTTTTGTTTTCTTTTGTTTTTTAATTCTCTTCTGCTTTCAATTATGACAAAATCTGTACTTAAAACAAACAAACTGGGGGTGCTTGGGTGGCTCAGTCAGTTAAGGAGCTGCCTTCAGCTCAGGTCACGATCTCAGGGTCCTGGAATGGAGCCACAAGTCAGGCTCCCCACTGATTGGGAGTCTGCTTCTCCCTCTCCTTCTGCCTCTCCCTACCACTCATGTTCTCTCTCTAATAAATAAATCTTAAAAAACAGAAATAAAACAAAACAAACTGAAAGCATCAGAGAACCACTAAGGTGGTCAGGATTTGAGGGGCTATGGTCTTGCAAAGAAGAGAAATCTACTAGGTAAGCCCCACATTTACCTCTGCTTTTTCCTCTGGGGGATGTGCTGATTAGACAGTGTGGGGAACAGAGGCTGGGCTGAAAGTGGCCTGGAGCTTGAGAGAGTCTCACCAGATTGGGGGAGTGCTAGGGTTTGGAACAGCTAAAGCATCCAAGGCTTCAAAGTGCCAAGAAGGTACCTGCAGAAAAGTAAACCTAAAACTGTACAATTTCCCCCTTGCATTATCTGTTGACTCCTAAGCAATGCCTGTACTGGGTTAGATGGCAGAAAATTAAACATGAAGTTGTAGCTAGATGCCAGAAAGATTCTGGCAGCCTTGTGATGCTGGGGAAATGGAGGTTAAAGTTCAGGACCCACCAAGGAAAAAAGGCCTGGTGAATACTCCAGACATTCAGCTGATATCCTAGAAGGGCAGAAACTAAATAAACCCTAGGAATCTTTATTCTAGCTAGAAATAAACTAGCTGTAAGAAAACCTGAAAGCCAGCAAGTACAGGAACAAAGTGATCTGCTTGCCAGAAGAAACTTAAATCTTCTTGAAAGACAATAAAAACGGACCCACAAACTTCTGGTTAGTATATAATCTCTCCAACTCTAACAGTGAGGACAAGCCAGATACCCTACAAAATCATACATTTTTATATTTAACTTGAGAGTGCAAAGAAACCTAAACGAATGAAAATTCAGAAAATGATGAGTCCCTCCTAGGAGAAGAGACCCATGATTGTTTTCATCCTCAACAGAGTGGAGGGGGGATGGGAGGGTAGAAAGCGGGCGGGGGTGGGGGATGACACAGCTGCTGTTGATAGTTAAGGAGAACTAACTGAAATTTTTATAGATTTTTGAAGGCCAAGTTGGACTGGACTCAAGGAGCCCTAGCCACAAAGAAAGTCTCCATTCACTCACCAACTATTTGCCACAGGCCTTCACTGAGTGCTTATGGAAATCACTAGGGGCAGGGAAAGAGGACTGAGAGACGCCCTAAGGCAGAGAGGCACAGGGCATGTGAAGATAGAGCACGTGACAACTAAGAGTACCCCGTCTGAAGCACTCCAGACTCTCGTGGAGAAGGCAGCCTCCATAGCTGATGGAGCCCCTCAAAACCCCTCTGTCCCTCCACTGTAAGGTACAGCTTTTCATGATTTACTGAAGGCTGACGTCAGAGCAGGCAAATTTATAGAAATCCTCTGAGCCATTCTGGGTCCTCACTGAGTCCCAAGCAGAGGCTGCCAGTGGTTACTGGAGGGGCAGAAGAGTTGAGAGGCTCCTACTCACGGCCCCTCCCCAGGTGCAGGCATGCAAGGTGTGCTGAAAGCTGAAGGCAGAGCAGTGCTATCTTTCTCAATCTGCCCAGCATAAGAGCTTTCTCCTTTTCCACCACTGCTTTACTCACATTATATTGAAGTCAGCTGTCCCCAGATAATTCTGTTTTGCCACATATATACATTCCTGAAAAACCTCATATTCTTGAAAATAACATGACTGGATTTTTTAAAAAACGTAGAGAGAGAGAGAGAGAGGAGAGAGAGAGAGAGAGTGTGTGTGTGTGTGTGTGTGTGTGTGTGTGTGTGAGATGGAATATTATTCAGTCATAAAAAAGGAAATCTCGCACTATGCAACCACATGGATGAACCTGGAAGACGTTATGCTAAGTGAAATAAGCCAGTTACGGAAGGACAAATACTGCATGATTCCACTTTTTTGAGATATCTAAAACAGTCAAACTCATGGAAGCAAAGAACAGAATCATAGGTATCGGGTTGGGGAGTACAGGAAATAGGGAGTTGCCAAGTGACAAATACAAAATTTCAGTTAAACAAAATGAATAACTAGCAGAGATTTGCTGTACAACAACACTGTGCCTATGGTTAGCAATACTGTATTGTACAGTTAATATTTATTAAGAGGCTAGATCTCATTGTAAGTGTTCTCACCACAATAAAACTAAAACAATAAAAAAAAGAACAGAAAAAAAAAAGAAACAAGATAACAGGACTTAAAGAAAAAGGATTAGGGCAGACTACTCAAAATGTATGCAATTTTGTAACCATAGCATTAACAAAAACAATTAAACCCTAGTAAAAAAATACTAGCATAGTTAAATAGTGAATAATCAATGATTTTTACCTCTAAAACATGATGGTCACTTGATAAAAGGGGTAAGAAAAGAGAAAAAAGGATTGGGGGTGTGAAGGATGGAGGCAAGGATAAAATACCCAAAGATGGGGAATAATCACAAAATAAGTCCTTCCAAACACAGAGCACAAAGCCAAACCAGGTGAAGAGGAAGGAAAGAGAAAGAAATGGGTACTGATAGGTGGTTTGCTGCCTTCAGCTATGTCCATATATTTTGTCTTGCCAGCTGTTACAGGAACTAACAAAATTCCCTCATCATGTTGTCATCACTGTCCTATTTATCAATCACAAAGAACTAATCCACATTAAAGAAACATACATCATAACAGGACACATCGTACCTACCCCAATTAAACTAGAAGGCCTTTGTGGACAGATCATTCATATTTGTATCCTTAGTAACCAGCACATATACTGGGCATGTTGTAAATGTAAAAAGTGACCAAAAATGATAATTTTTTTAAAAACATATTTGCTAACATTTACAAATATTTTTTCAAACCACTTTTTTTTTTTTTTTTTTAAAGTATGCTCCACTTCCAGGATGCAGCCCAATGTGGGGCTTGAACTCATGACTCTGAGATCAAGAACTGAGCTGAGATCAAGAGTCGGGTGCTCAACCAACTACACCACTCAGGTGCCCCCAAAACAGTTTTGTTTTTTTTTTTTTAAGATTTCATTTACTTATTTGAGAAAGAGAGAAAGTACGTAAATAAGCAGGGGGAGTGGCAGGTAGAGGGAGACAGGGCTTGATCCCAGGACCCTGGAATCATGACCTACCAGAAGACAGATGCCCAACTGACTGCACCACCCAGGCGCCCCTCAGAGCACTTTTAACATTAAAAAGAAACATGCACTGGGGCACCTGGTGGCACAGTTGGTCACTGTCTGACTCTTGATCTCGGTTCAAGTCTTCATCTCAGGGTCATAAAATTGAGCCCCATGTTGGGCTCCGCACTTAGCGGGGACTCTGCTTGAGATTCTCTTTCCCTCTATCCCTCCCATTCATGCTCTCTCTCTCTAAATAAATCTTTAGAAATATATAAGACCTGGACCAACAAAAACTTGTACATCTTCTCCAGCATTCTTGCTCATGATATTCTAAATCATAGCTAGAATATTGAGTAACTACAGGTTGGAAAGGGAAAAAAACATCCAAAAAAGATTCTAATAATTGAAAATAGCTTCCAATATATATTGAGATGATAGGTAAAATGAAGTAACAATGTCGAACACATTTTTACAGTGTTCTAAATTCAAAGGATGAGGAGACAAGGATAGACCCGGGGGGGAAAAAAAAAACAACTTTTAATTCACTATTACATTCTGATGCATTGTTTGAAAATATTCAGAATTCCTTTAAAAAATTATTTCTCTATTACATTATTACGCATAGCATACTTAACAGGTGATCTACAAATACTTCTTATAAGAATACCATTGGACCTTTACCAGAATCTGTCCAAATTTTAATGATTAAAAAAAAAAAAACCATGATGGTAGCCTGCCTGCTAGACTGCCCTGACAAGTTATTTAATAACTGCCCTAGGTAAATGTATGTTTTCCTGGCTGGTATTCAATAAATTCAATACAGCAAGATCAACAAAACTCATCATGTTTTCTGTTGTTTTTATGGACCTCAAAACCTAGGCAAAAGCGGTAATCTCCAATATTACTTACGGTTCCAGCTTCACACCCAATAAAAATGCCAGTTAATGTCTAGATAGAAAGAGCAATTTCTCAATTACTACCTAAAGTCATCCAATGTCTCCTGTATCATGTTCTGAATAAAACGGATTTGAATAGATGTCAGTGGTGCATTTGGCCGATTATTTCCGATGGTATCAGCTATTTTTTCTGATAGTGAACTGGCAACTCCAGCCGTGACAGAGGATGCTATCTTTGGATCTAAAATAAAAAACGGAGAAAATATTAATAGTCAGCTTAGACTAAGAGACATCAAACATTTGTAAATAAGATTTGGCATGAGGAGACTTGAAAAACTGGTAAAGAATAGGATTCCTGTGACACTTAGGAAAAACTCACTGTCTGGAATACAAATCTTAAAAACTTTCTATGACATTATTTCTAATAATCATTTATCTATATACATAAACTGCCAACTGCCTAATATAATAACATATGACAGAGGGATTAATCTTGAAGAATCTTGGAACTATTTCCTCTTATAAAAGATGAATATGACATGCTATCCCACAAACTAGATAAGCCAAGACTATAACAAATAAACAGAAAGAATATAGGAGTACAGTACCGTTATAAGCAAAGCCCCAGAGTTTACACTAATACAATATATCCACAGAAACCTTAAAGATATAAATATCTATATAAAGGAGTTGGTTCTATACAAAGAGTTGTTTTCTATAGATAACTTGTAAAATTGAACCCAATATCCCATTAAATGTCATCTCAAGTTTTTAGGATCTGTGGCATGAACTCTACATAGGACTTTTGTATGGAAGAGGAAAAAAAACAATTTCAGGTAGTTAATGACGCATTTTCAAAGGGTCCTACATTATATTCCTATTTGTGCATATCAGATCAAGACCCTTACACATTGGATTGAAAATAAAATTCACACCAAAAGAATATCAAATCATTGTCACTGAGTTTAACTATTCACATTCATCTCATTATCCTCTAGTAAGAGAGTCATAGTAGACAAGCATTGTAAAGTTTCAACTCTTAATTTTCTTAGCCTATGGTTACTCTATATATTTATCTTTTTCAACTTAAATAGTGGGAGTTTTCGACTTAACACTTTCAAACACCAGGAAGTTTTATGTACTTACTTGGAGTTGAGGATCCAATGAGGGGGGGTTCGTATATGAACTGAGCTTCAATTTCTTTCTCTGGCTTTTCAAACTTCTCAGGACTTCTTGTTTGGTTAGATGACGGAGAGGTATTCAGATTTCCAGTTTCAGCACCAGAAATCAACTTTGCAAACTTTACATTTAAAATAAACAATACATCAATTCTGGTTTTATATATATAATTTGTACCTACTTTTCTTTTTTCCAGTAGTTAGGATCAGAAAATTGAAGAATAAGAAGGGATATAGAAAGAAAAAAAACTGCTAGAACTAGTGGCAAAATAAATCAATTTTACTAATCAAAAAGTAATTTCAATGATAACATAATGAGGAAAAGCTCATTTACTAATAAGCATCTGCTATTGAGTGTCGCTGAAAATGGTAATCACAGGCCAAAAAAAATAAATAAAAAATCCCCAAACTCTCAGGTGGTAACTAGCCAAAAATATTTGAAAAATATGTCAGAAGACATTTTTGTACTTCCTAAATATCTTTTCAATATCATTCTAAAGAATCAATATGAAAATGTGACACACTTGACCTTGTTGGTAATATCTGATCACTTTAAGCCTTTACATAGCAAATTAACTTCTATTTTGGATACCGTATTAATAGCAGAAGGTAATGAGGATGCGTTACATTCTTAGCACCATCAATTAGCTCTAAGACTTAGAGTAAATGACTTGACCACCAACTTGGTGATTTCTGCTGCAATGAAAATAAATTCTAAAAAACTCAGGTATAAACTAGTCAAGTATCTTTATCCTAGAAAAAACAGCGTAAGTTTACATCTGCTGTTACCTCCAACATTTCCAAAGACAGATTTCAAAAATATCCTTTAGCTTTTAACATGTGACATCAAGATTTAAGAATATTTTCTACCTGGTAAGTGCACAGCACTGTTGATAATTAGGACATATCCCTGGCAGCCGCCTGCTTTCTACCTCGTGATGAGCTTCATTATGTGCCTGCTACTGACAAACGCACACTGAGCTCAGTAACATTTTTAGGCAGATACCTGTTTGAGGGAGTCCTTAGGTTCCTGTTTTCCCGGATATATTTTCTTAGATTCAGCTGTCAGATCATGATTTTCATTTTCTTCTTTCCCTGGAGATCCCTTAAAGACATTAAGAGGACTAGAATGTAATACTGAAGTGCTTGAAGCTACTGGATTTTTTCTTGGAGGAAGGACTGAATTCAATTGTGGTAGAAACTCAAGGCCTGAAAAAGAGGAGAAAAACACTATTTGCATATGATTTTCCTTAATCTTGGATATTTAAGAAAAGCACTTAACATGACAGACAGGTTAATATGGTAGAAAGACATGCGATTCGGATTCAGAAGGCAGGTTCTTTTGTCAGCTCTACCCCTTACTTGATGTATACAAAATCTTGGGCAAAAATTGCAAAACTCTGTTTCCCGATCAGTAAATGTGAATAATGATATCCATCTCCCTGAGAGGTGAAACTAAAAAGTGATATTATATGTAAATCTACTTTGAAAATTGCAAAGCCCAATGAATGTTTTAGTCAATATTAATAGTTTTTGATAACTGAAAATGATAAGTTTGGTATGTATCTGTAATATATCTTGGTATTCAGCCTCTAAGATGGCTCTGAATGATCCCTGCCTTCTGTCATGGATCCATGCCCTTGGGTAATTCTCTCCCTTTGAATGCGGGCAGGACCTAGTCACTTGCTTCCAACAAAGAGAATACAGCAAAAGTGGTGGGATGTCACTTCCAAGATTAGGTTACAAACATGCAGTGGCTTCCATTCTGATGCCATCTCTGACTATCTTGCTCGCCAACTTTGAGGGAAGCCAGCTGCCATGTTGTTAGTTGCCCTACAGAGAGGCCCACAGGACAAGGGAACGGTATCTTCTACCAAGAGCCACATGAATGGCTTGAGGTAGATTCCCGTCCAGTCAAGCCTTAATATGACTGCAGCCTTGTTACATCCTGATTAAAGCATCAAAAGAGACCTGAAGCCAAGGACACCCAGTTAAACCATGCTCAGATTCTTAACCCACAGTTATGAGATGATAAATATTCTTCTAAGTTTTGAAAGGTTGGGGTACTTTGGGGGTGCCTGGGAGGTACATTCCATTAAGCATCTAACCCTTTGTTTTGGCTCAGGTCATGATTTCAGAGTCATAAGATCAAGCCCTGTGTCCAGCTCTGTGCTCAGTGTGGAGTCTGCTTGAGATTCTCTTTCCCTCTTTCTCTCTCAAATTAACAAATAAATCTTTTAAAAAGATGTTGGGGTAATTTGTTACATATCAACAGATAACACAATATCCCTTTTCATTTTAATAAAAATACTTCTCAACAGGTCTTACCATCTTTGCCTATGGATTCATCACCTCCCTTGTTAACCACAGCATCTATAATAAAAATTAGAAAATCACATTCTTAAAATTCTGAAAAATAAGCCATAGCAACTTAAGCTTCCTATTCATTCCCCAAAGAGTTCGATTTTAAGAAGGAAAATCTGAGTGAAGTAACAGCTGAGACTCTATAAACTTCCCTTTTTATTCTTTTCACTTCATGCATAGCAACAAATATGAAGAGTAATTCTATGGTATAGGGCCATTTAATGAGACAGCAAGGTATACTAGAAAAGCATTGCAGTAGGCTCCAGAAATCTAGAATCCAATTCTGCCTATACCACTTAATAGCTCTATGACATTAGACAACAAGTTTTTAATACAATTAAGCTTCAGCTTCTGCATCTATATAATGGGAAAAATGTCCTGACCATCTCACAAGATTGTTTTGAGGATCAATTGAAACAATGTCAAAATAGTTTGTGAGCATCACAATGATATTAAAAAAATAAGATTTTATTAGTATTCATTTTAATGGCAGAATATGTATAAGAACACTCCAATATTATAATACTTTTCATTTGCAATTAACAACCAAAAATGGCCTAACTCCATTTTAGCAAATTAATAGAAAAATGGGCACAAGTCATAAAAAAAGTCAAATGGCCAATAAATTACCATACATGACTATCATAGTAGTAGGAGTATCACCCATCCATCTATCTACATGTGTGTATATATACCTAGTAACTACACAACACGCATACACTTTAAGAAGTTATTAGTTTTCTAGCAGAAGTATTATTTAAAAGATGAAACTGAAGCACAGATTCAGCCTTTTACCTAAGGAGAGTCACATTCTTGAAATCAAAACATAAAGCTCTTGATAATGAAAACCAGTACTGTATTTAGTACACATGTTCTTTCATTAATACTATGAAATGCTAATAAATGAAAGGCATATAGCTCAAATTCTAATCATATTTTTAAAAAAGTAAAGAGGAATTTCTATCCTTTATTCATTTCTTTTAAAAACCATTAAAGAGAATTTCATTTATAACTCAAAACCCTTTCAAAAAACCCCTTCCCTACATTCTTCAATTCAAAAGTTACCCCCAGGGGTTCTCATAAGCTAAAGCTTCCAAGATTACAACCTCCAAAACCTTTCTCAACTCCAGCTCAAGCCACTTTTCCCTCTTTTGCCCACATCTTTCTTCTCTTTATTCTTTAACTATGTAGTCTGACCCTTCTTAATCCTGAAATAAAGGAATCCTTCCTCTTTCATTAGGTGGAAGATAGGAAAATCTGACCTGGCAATTAGAGTAGTCATTTTCAGGCCACCGTACGGCAGAATACACTAAATAATTCTGTGCCATCACATATGTATGTTTTCTTTCTGATTATGGAATTAATTGTAGAAAGTTTGGGAAAACAGACAATTTGAAGTAAAAAATGAAATTTTATAAGATCATGATGTAACAATTTAAACATTCTGCTACTGTTGACATTTAAATATGCTCCAGAGTTCCACTATTATTAAAAAAAAAAAACAAAACAGTACATACAAATCTTTGTGAGATTCTCTAAACAAGTTATTAGGTAAATTTATTGAAATTGAATTAACAGGCCAAAGAGTGTGAATGTTTAACCTGCCAAATGATGCTCTAGAAATTTACCCGTATTGTTAATAATACTGCTATTAGCAGTGAGACTACCCAATTAATGAAACAGTATGAATATCAGTATCAAAAAAACACAGCCAACCAATATGCCTAGTTCATATATTATGAACAATGATATATAATGTTTCTATTTGTCAAAATGGTAAAGTTTTTAAGTTTTTATTTTCTTTTTAGTAGCAACATCTCCCAGCAATGGGGTGTGTGTGTGTGTGTGTGTGTGTGTGTGTGTGTTATTTTCACATAGTGTAAAAGATGAGGCAATCTATCACCCAGCCATATTTCTCCATGAAAACAATGAATAAATATACCAATTAGATATTAATAATCTAAAATGTTTTAGGTTAGAAAGATATTTTTTTGCCTATCAAAAATAGCCAAGATTTTGAGAAGATTTATTTAGAAGCAGATATAATGAAAAAACTGCCTATGGAAGCAAAACTTCCTTTAAGAAACTTCTGTGGAAATTAAAATGCTAACTTGAGAGCTATTTGCATAGTTCCCTGTAAAAACAAAAAGCATATACTTCAGAATGGTAACATCTGAAATATCAGGGCAAAGGAAAAGATACCACCCCAGGGACTGAGAAAATTAGCAACTGTCATGAACACAGTCAGACTGAAGCTATTACCCACATCTTTTAGCTAGGATAAAAATGTAATGGCTGCCAGCAAAAGAACATGATCCTCTGATCTGAACAGACTTACCATCTCTGATAGGTGAGAACATGTCACCTAAACTACTTTTTCTGGTATCATCAAAGCTGAAGAAATCCTGATTTTTCCCACTGTCCGTTTCCTTAGATATAATATCAGTGTTTATGCTTCGAGGCAAACCTTATAGGAAAATTAGATATAAAAATAACTGTTACTACATCTGAATGAATGTACCATAGAAGCTAGATTCTAAAAATTAATGTATTATGCATCTATTGGTAATATTATAATTGTGAGCACCAGGAAAAGAAAACAACATAACAGCTCAGTTAACCATGATTTGCATGGAATGAAGGGCTTCTCAAAAGCAAATAACCTACTTATTTAAGTGATAACACCTTATTTTAGCCATTTTGGTGAAATTCTCCCAAAATGATTTATATACTTTGCTGCCCTCTTAAATACTAAACACAACCAACTTCTGTTGTAACGGGCTCCTTTTATGAGCATCTACAAATGATTTAAAAAGTCTGTAAGGCATAGAGCACGATGCCTACCATAGAGCAAGATTCAAGTAATGTTAGTTCCTTTCCACAACTGCAGTAAATCGATCTCCTTTCTCCCTCTTTTGCCTTTTCCTTCACTAACTGTGGAAGCTTAACCCTGCTCTCAGTATTATCGACCTCAGATGACTTTACTAGCCTCAGGATAGTTTACTAAGAGTTTCAAAAGAAACCAGAACATTAAACTCATAAATAGCATAGTAGACAACACTGAAGAAGTATGTAGCAGTTTATTTTCCCTGCCAGTATACAGTGCAAGGAATTTGTAAGAGGAACTCTGTGGGCTCAGTAGCTTCTTGGTCATTTTTGGGTTGAAGAATGAGTTCTACTGATTCAAGAGCGGTGATGAAAGTCTGGTACTTTAACTGGTAGCATGTTACTGTGTTACATTTTTTAAAAAGGCTTATTTTGGGGGGGGGCAGAAAGAGAGGGAGAGTGTCTTAAGCTGACTCCCCACTGAGCTAGAGCTTGAATTCAGGAATGCACAACCCTGAGATCACAACCTGAGCTGTCAGATGCTCAACTGACTGTACCACCTAGGTGTCCCCTGTACTACATTTAAAATAGCTCTTTATTTGCCTTCTTGGTCCCACATAAAAACTGAAAAGCTGGGATAAAAACAAAGAACAGCCAGCATATCCAAAAATGTCCAAAACTGACAAATAAAATAAACTTTTCTAGTAACACCTGATAAAACGTTAAAATATTACTGAACATTTGTATATCATTGTCACTGAAGTGTTTACATCAAGAGTTAAGCTGTTATTAAGGAGAAATTTTCTCTCCTTCTAGGTCTTTAAACATGTATGAATAAGTAACTTTAGCCTCTGGAACTTTGGGAAAGAAGTTTGGTATCATTTGAAAGTAGCACTAAAGACATTTTTTACTTCTTAAACGAGTGTTTTCCTACCAAAAATGAGCATTAGCAATAAGTCTGCAGAAGTTCTCTATTTTAAGTTTTTATTTAAATTCCAGTTGGTTAACATACCATGTAATAATTTCAGGGGTACAATACAGTGATTCAACATTTCCATGCAACACCAGGTGCTCATCACAACAAGTGCACTCCTTTATCCCTATCACCTGTTTCGCCCCCACCCCCCACTACTTCCCCTCTGGTAACCATCAGTTTGTTCTCTATAGTTAAGAAAAAGCAAAGAACGTATCACAATTCCGGACTTCAAGTACAAAGCTGTACTCATCAAGACAGTATGGTGATGACACAAAAACAGACACAGAGAGATCAGTGGAACAGAAAACCCGGAACAGAACCCACAACCATATGATCAGCTGATCTTTGACAAAGAAGGAAAGAATATCCAGTGGGAAAAAGTTTCTTCAACAAAAGTAGACAAGAACATGCAAAAGAATGAAACTAGACCACTTTCTTACACCATACACAAAATGGATTAAAGACCTAAATGTGAGACATGAAACCATTAAAATCTTGAGACCATTAAAGTGTTAAAGGAGGACGTAAGCAGCAGCCTCTCTGATATCAGTCGCAGCAACTTCTTTCTAGGTAGGTCTCCTGAGGCAATGGAAACAAAAGCAAAAATAAACTACTGGGACTGCATCAAAATAAAAAGCTCCTGCACATCAAAGGAAACAACAGAACTAAAAGACAACCTACAGAATGGGAGAAGATATTTACAAGTGACCTATCTGATAAAGGGTTAGTATTCAGAATACATAAAGAAATTATAAAACTCAACACCCAAAAAGTAAATAATCTAATTTAAAAATGGGCAGAAGACATGAAGAGACATTTCTCCAAACAAGAGATCCAGATGGCCCACAGACACACATAAAGATGATCAACATCACTCATCATCAGGGAAATACAAAACCATAATGAGATATTACCTCACACCTGTCAGAATGGCTAAAATCAACAACACAAGAAACAACTGGTGTTGGCGAGCATGTGGAGAAAGGCGAACACTTGTGCCCTGTTGGTGGGGATGCAGTGACTGACACCTTTAATAGAAGTAACGAGAACTTTTTTCAAATTTCAGATTCCTTTTACAGGAAGTTTAAAATAACAGTAAGAGTAATGATGATAACCGTGATGACAAAATTAGCAAAACCGTAATTTCCTGATTGCCTATCATGTGCCAGGCACTTTGATACATTTTCTCTGGTTTTCACAATAACCCTAAAAGTTAAATATTATCTATGGAAGAGAAAGTAAGAATCAGAGTGGTTAAGAAAACTCTCCAGAGTTATGCTGGTAGGAAGTCACAGACCCAAGATGTACACTTAACATACTCTCAATGTTTCAGGGGTTAAATGTATGTGTGTGTGTGTGTGTGTGTGTGTGTGAGAGAGAGAGACAGAGAGAGAGAGAAAGCAAATGATTAAGCAAATATGGCAATTTATAAAACAGTGAATCAGCTAAATGGAATACTAGAGCTCAGGAATTCTTTGTACTATATTTGAAATTTTTCTATAAGTTTGCAATTATTTCAAAATAAAATTAATAAACAAAATTTCTAACTCTGTGGGTACAGAGCAAACATTCATTTTGTCAGAAACTTTGTTAATCAGCCAACAGTTATCATTAATCAGTGACCCTGCAGACCCAACTCTTGCATTTCCTAATTAATGCTGTCATTGTTACACGAGTTTCCTTATTAAAAACTAAATGAATAACAGGAGACTTCAGAAAGCTCAGAGTAAATGAGAGAAAATTTTGTTTAATTTTGGAAATTATGAGTAGAAGCAACAATAATAAAATAATCTTTAAAAATAATGACAATTTTTATAATACAGTTAATTCAGTATCTTGGTGAACATTACTCAAGTTATATTTCAAAATGAATTTCTTCTTCTAAGTATATAGGAGTAATATTTGTTTCTGGGAGTTCTTAAATTAGGAATTAATTATTTTTCTATATAATATGTAAATGACTTTTATGTAAGGATGATGTAGATACTAACAAATTTATAATGAAGATATACACTTATTACATATTTTTTAAAACCATTCCATACTATCAAGGCTAACAAATTAAAGTTTTGCTTCTACCTGAAAATCGTAAACTCACGCTGAGAAGATACAACAGGTATTTTTGTCCATGTTAAGTACTTGTCCTAAAACCTTAAAAAGACACGGATATGTGCATTTCTAATGAGACTAGTTTGGAAACACAGTGGTATATCATACAGACTTCTTAAAATTTTTTAAATTTTTTTTAAAGATTATTTATTTGAGAGAGAGACTGCGTTCAAGTGGGGGTAGGGGCAGAGGGAGAGAGAGAGAGAATTGCAGTCGACTCCTTACTGAGAGCACAGCCCAACGAATGGGACTTGATCTCACAACCCCAAGATCACTGCCTGATTCAAAACCCAGAGTCTGATACTCAACCAACTGAGCCACTGAGGTGCCACTACCATACAGACTTAAAAATATGTTGCAAGTTGACAGTGTAGCATAACTTCTTAAAATTAAAAGAAAAAATGTTTTCAGTAGTTTAGAGAAAAAGAGTATTCTCTACAGTAAGTACAGGAAAGTTTATCATCACATTACACCTTCACAGAGTCTAAATGAATTATGATTATCAGAGTAGAAGAAATTATTTAAAAATTGTAACACTTTGGGGCACCTGGGTGGCTCAGTGGGTTAGGGCCTCTGCCTTCGGCTCAGGTCATGGTCCCAGTGTCCTGGGATCGAGCCCCACATCGGGCTCTCTGCTCGGCAGGGAACCTGCCTCCTCCTCTCTCTCTCTGCCTACCTCTCTGCCTACTTGTGTTCTCTATCTGTCAAATAAATAAATAAAATCTTTAAAAAAAAATTGTAACACTTTGGTTTATTTTTCTTTAATAAACTACCAATATACTGCTTAATATGTACCAGGCACTATTCTGCACTTAAATACACTCATTTCATCAACTTACTTTACATTCTGAAATATGAAATAAAAGAAGCCATTAATAGTTTTTGTGACTCAGAGATCAAATCAAAATGACAGCACCACAGAATCATATTCTCTACTGACTGAATCTGAAGACACATCAGAAAAGTCATCCAATCTGGAGTGGCATTCAGGATAATTTCTAAATTGGCATTATTCTGTTTTTAAGATAATATTTCTTACAACAAAAATTCAGCTAAATAGAATAAGTACCTTTCATTAATTTTTTAAAAATTTATAGCTTAAGTTAAAATGGTCACTTCTTCCATGTGCACTATCTACTAATAATTTTACCTAAATACACAAGTGAATTTGAGTTCTAGGTTCTCAAAGAAAATGCTAATGATCTATTTGGGGTGTTGTGGTGGGAGGAAACTCCACAAACTCTCCACAAGCAGCATTTACCTGCTTTGTCTTGAACAGCAACTGCTCCTTTCCCCCCGGCTATTGTCATGGGCTGTGGTAGATCCGTGCCAATGGGAGTGGTGGCTGCTTCCCTGATGATTCCAGAATTCTGAACTCCTCCACTCGTAGCACTCACATTAATGGCTCGTTTGTTCACAGCTGTGGGCTTATTTGAACAGCCTTTATTTAAACTTGACTGAAATGTAATGGAATATTTAAAAGCTCAGGTTTCTAATGCTCCATACTATACATTAATATTTTATCAATTCCCTGTTAGGTTAAAAATATATATAATTTCCCTTACAAATCCTAAGCCTGCTGGTGGATCTGAGTTTTCTGCTGAATGAAAAAGCCTTTTAAAATATTTTTTAAAGAGAGAAATATGAGAATTAAGTACAAAAAATTAGTTTTAAAAACAAGTATCAAATGGCTTTGTACCAAAGTCATTTAAAATGCTTTCATATAAAAATGATTATAAAGTAAAACTACACTGCATTTAATAGACAAAATATGATTTCCATATTCTGAACTGGACTTATTTAGTAAAATCAAAAACAATAAAAAGAAAGAAAATACCTTACCTTAGAAAGAGCAGTGGAGTACTGAAATGCTATACATCGCACAGATGTCTTGTGAGCACTGATGGTTTTAACGGGTGATTTCAACATCCTTAAATCATATTGATATATCTTCCCCCGGGAAGATCCAATAGCCAAAGTGGCTCCATCAGGCATGAAGTCTACTGCAGTTAGAGGGGTGTCGGCCACTAAAGTTTTCACTAGCCTTTGAAAAGGTTAACAAAGTATACCTAGATATGTGAGCCTATACAGGTACATAAGCGTATGTGACATATAGACAGCTATGTGCCAAAACCAAAGTTACTGAGCATTTGGCAAAGTTACTTGAAATATGCATCCCAAATATTTGTGTAAAGCATAAATTCAGAACTAGACTTAAGACGTTTCTAATAGGACAGCATCTAAAGGAACTGCTGAACACTCCATCCTCTTTCTTCTATTCACTTCCAATTGGTATGTTCCACATTGTCTAGAAGCAGCAACTATTTCTTTGAGTAATTACTACTTCCACAGTGAGTATGACAGACTTCCTGGGTGTTACTCCACAAACAAGGGCTCTAGCCTCAGGGTTAAGGAGGCCCTAACTATCCCTCTTCCATTCATTGACCTGCTCAGGTCTCAAGAGGACTATGACCTTTCGCAGGGGAGCAGCTGCTACTCTGCTCTTCCAGCTGCACATTTCTTGAGAAAAAGCTAACAGATTCCCTGCAGCTTGATCCTCATGAAGCTTATACAGGGACACTGAACTGCTGGTACTGAGATATGGACACTGAACTGCTGAAGCTCGGCTCTTTGCCACAGCTATCCGGTCTGAGAGAGAAATGCTTACTGACTCTTAAGGTTCTTGGTAAAGTTCAAGAAGAAAGAATAAAAAGGAAAACTTTCAAAAGAAGAAAATGAAACAAGTAACAGTAAACGTTAACAAGGACTGACAGAAGGTCCTTCCCTAGTCAAAACATTACCATTTTCTTCCATGCAGTCTTCAGATATTGTCAGGTGTCTTGAATACACCCATAGCACTCTTGTCCCATTTTTTTTTTTTAATAGCTAACCAAGCACACCTATAACTGTAAGAAAGCCAGAAGGCACAATGGACCCAGATACTTAGAAGATTGTGTACCCTTTAGCTCTAGATCAGTGGTTCTCAACTGAGGGCAACTTTGCTACTTTTTCTAATACTGGGAGTGCTACTGGCCTCTGTTGGATAGAAGCCAGGGATGCTGCTGAATATTCTCCAATGCCCAGGATAGCCCCCACAAGCAAGAATTATCCAGCCCAAAATATTAATAGTTTAGAAACTCTGCTCTTGAAAATGAATTAATTTTAAGGCAAATTAATCACATTGCTTTTAAAATGCACATATCTAGTTGTATTTCTGAAAAAGAATACTGTGCCTTCATGCTAAAATAAAGATGTGCAATCATTAATATGCTATCCTCAGCATTCGTCATCCAGATGTACTCTATAGAATATCCACATTTCATGTATTTTTTTCCTGCTTGGGAAGAAAAAGAGAAAATTCTATCCTTTTAGATAACAAGTACACAAACTTAAGATCTCCCAAACATTAATCAGAGGTCTATGCAAATCACAAATGTCTGCTAATGAGATAATAGTTATTTGTTACTAAATTAAGAAATGATCACGTCACACTTACTTCTTACTTGAAGTGTCGTAGAGAATGATTCTTTTATCCAAGCCTATAGTCACAAATAGCAATTCATTGACAGGAGAAAAACAGATGCCCGAAGCTGGAGCTTTATGCGTACTGTCAAAGTTATGGTATGGACTCTGACTATTCACATCCCAGAGAGTTACTATTCCATTATCTGAAACACTGCCCAGTAGTGATTTCTTAAACAAGGAGTACTTCAGGTGCCGAACAGACTGTAAAGATAAGAATAAATTTTATGCAATTGTAAGCATTCATAAGAACATTTTATATAATATAAATAATGGCAACAGTCAACCACACTAGTGACAGGGGATTTAGGACTTTCTGGTTTATAGAGTAACAGGTTTCAACTATGACAACCATAAAAATCACTTAGTAGACTAAAAGATGATCCTAAGACATACCAATATTCTAGTAATTAAATATTTGTCATTATTTTATCTTGGAATAGAGTTACCTCAACCTCCCCTTTTATAGAGGAAAAATATAACAAGTTGAGATTAACTACAGTAATTCATCAGGGTTAGGAACACCTACCATAAAAAGGCCCAGTAGCTAATCACAGCCAAATCACGAATAAGAGAACACTGACAGAGAATAAGCAATATTTCAAATTTATTTTCTCTACATATTTTAGATATTTGGATATATTTTTTGAATCTAAGCATTTGATGTACTGGCAATTTAGCACCTGAAGTATTATAAAAATTTAACTAACCACAAAGAAAGAATTGACAACACTCTAGAGTAGGAATGGACTGTATCCTTTCAAAAGAATCAGCCTGAGGGCAATACTGGCCTTTCTCTAAACATGCATCCCTGGGGGTAGTAGAAACATTCTCTTTCTAGTTTCTGCTGGATCAGAATAAACAAAGATCCAGTTTGAGTAAACAGATCTTGAATTACACCTAGATGAATTTTATCTACTTTTACTAAAATGTTGCTTTCAAACATGGGTTGATATTATCACTTACTGAGCTGAGGATTAAGTATCTTACATTTAAGCTAATTTCTCCCTGCACAGAAACAGCAATATAAGTATAGAAATTAATAGTAGAATCCCTAGCAGTGGGAAACTGGTTTTCAAAGAGTTAAGTTTACAGTTTCAAATAAAGCAGTGAATCAGGCTCTAGTAAGCAGACAGTAGCTATATATATAGGTTCCAGATAAATCTGGCACAAAACAAAAGTCAAATCTGAAGGGGTTTTTGTTTTTTTCTGTCTAATCTATCATACTCCAAAAGCTTCTATATACCACTAGAAACCACACAGAAATCACAGCTTCTGTATCTTAAAAACTCATATACTACCTATTTCTAAGATTTTCAAAATAATATGTATCAGCCCTCAATAACAAAAATATTTATGAATAATACAAAATAAATTCTGTCTAAGGAAACAAAAGGAGTATTTGTTACCAGACACCTTAATGTTAAGATAATTACTATGGTCATGCATTAAATATGGCTCTTCATTTTGATACAGTTAGAGTCCAAAAAGAAAATATTGGCTTATATTTTGCATTTTTGTTGAGAAAAAGTATATTAACTCCAACAGACAAATCTTTCCTCTGGTCTACACTCAAGGAAAAATAAACTACTGGGACCTTAACTATATAAAAAACATAGAGGGCACCTGGGTGGCTTAGCTGGTTAAGTGTCCAACTCTTAATTTCAGCTCAGATCATGATCATGAGATCAAGTCCTGTGTCAGGCTCCATGATGTCTGTGGAGTCTGCCTGAGGTTCTCTCTCTCCCTCTGACCCTCCCTCCACCCCCAAGCATACACTCTTTAAAAAAAAAAAAAAAAAGACACAGAGATCCTTAGTGAATTGCGATTGTTTATAGAGTCACATATCAACCTAGCAAAACATTAATTTAAAAAAAATTCTGTAGCACGTTAAGAGTTTATATACTTATGGTCCTTCATATAATCTAAATTTAGATTAGATACACAAGCAGAACCTTAAAAAAAAAAAACTAACACCATAAAACATAGATCTCATATTGTTTTTCAGAGTCCATAGTCAAACAATCTGAGGGGTCTGAAGGGGAGGGGGTGGGAGGTTGGGGGAACCAGGTGGTGGGTATTGGAGAGGGCACGTATTGCATGGAGCACTGGGTGTGGTGCAAAAACAATGAATACTGTTACGCTGAAAATAAATTACAAAAATTAAAAAACAACAACAACAACAACAAAAACCATAGATCTCACAGATCCATGAAGTACACAGAATTCAATCTCTTAGCCACAGGATTCCCACTGGAAGGTGGTCATCCAGAATCTATTTGAATATAGCAAGGAACAAGGAGCTTACTACTTCATAAAATGAGACTTTATAAATAATTAAAAATGCATTTCTTGATTAAGTCAAAACCTAAATTCTATATATTGCTTCATATTCTATGGCCCTATATGACAATCCTTGAAGAAAAGAAAAAAGGCTAACAATAACCATAAATCTTCCTCTCAGATAACCTGGGTTCAAGCAGGGTCTCAGCCAAACTCTGTAGGGTCTTGGGTAAATTACTTAAACTCTCCAAGTCTCAGTGTTCTCATCTACAAAACAGAAAATGCTCTTATTTCCCAGTCAAAGTTGTTCTAAGGATTAAACAGACTCTCTGCACAGAGCCATGTGCACAGCAGTAGTTGCCACTACCCTCACAGGCTCGTGACTCATTCTTCATTGTTTATATATCCATTTGACCATCTTCTACACATATTTTTGTAAAAGACCCTTAATCAGCCAAACTAATTTCTTTAAATGTCTCCCCTCTATCCCTCGGATACATTTCTGACCTTTCTACAGCTATTAAATCATCATGTCTTTATTTAAATCATCATGACCAGATATTGGGTCATAGTTTGTTGGCCCCACAGTTTTCATAAATGTTTGCAAACAAAACAAAACAAAACATGGTGTATCTAGGTAACTTAGTCAGTTAAGTGTCTGCCTGCCTTCTGCTTAGGACATGATCCCAGAGTCCTGGGATCCAGGCCCACAGAGGGTTCCCTGTTTATCAGCGAGCCTGCTTCTTCCTCTCCTTTCCACTCATGCTCTCTCTTGCTATCTCCATCACTGTCTCTTTCTCTCTCAAACAAATAAAATCTTACACACACACACACACATAAAGAGGAAAAAACCATCCATAATCCTACCACCTACAAAAAAACTGGTTTACATAAGTTTTGTTGTAAATAAGTCTTAGTTTTATTGTTTAAATGTTTTTCTGTGTGAATGTATGCTTGTGTATATTAAGTATAAACAGAAAATCTGGGATCACACTTTATTATTATAAAGTCCACAATGTCATTAATATTTTCTACTACATGATTTTAACAGCTGGATAATACATGAATATATATCAATTTATCTAAATAATCCAATGATGTACATTTAGGTTATTTCCAATTTCTAAGTACTCTAACTACTATCACTTTTAAAAACTGCTAATTTATGAGAGAATTTGTATTTCACTATTGTTCATGCTTTAAAGGTTCTTGGTTGAAAAATGCTAAGTGACCATCTGTCTTCCTTCTTTTGTGAATTGCACATTAATCTACTTTGCTTATTTTCTATTGGGCTATTAAGATTTTTTAAAATCCCAATTTGCAATTGATCTTACTATAATAAGGACATTAAAGCTCTCATAAGTATAAATATTTTCCCATTTTTCTTTTAATTTTGTTAATTTTTTTAAAATAGTGCCTTTTTTTCAGCTTTTAAGTTTTTATGCATGTAAGTTTATCAAATATGTCCCCCTAACTTATAACTTTGTTCTTATACTTAGAAAAGCCTTACCTTCACGGAGATAAGAATATATATATTCATGTATTATTATAGCTTTATAATCTGTAATGTGTGTACCTAAATACATATATATGTAGATATACATATATACTAGATACTATATATACAAATATATGTATACAACAGATACTATACATACGTGTATAAACACATACACACATATAAATATACACAGTATTCCTTCAACTGCATCCCCTCCCTCTTCTTAAGTCCCAGTGTCTTGTCTCAAGCACTGATCAACTATCACTGGAGGTACTGCCCACTTCATTCTCAGTGGCTCACTATCCTTCCTTCACCCTGCTGCAGCAATAACTTCTCCAAAACTAGAAATCTGAACATATCTGGCTTGCTTAAAATCCTTTTAACTCAAAGACTCTGCGAAGTTAGTTGTTACAAGTGGCAGGTTTCTGAAGCTCTCTGAATTCCCCCACGTATGTGTGTGTGTGCCTGCGTGCACACATGCACGCACACACATGCAGAAAAGACTTAACAAGTAGGCCTGGACTGCCTATCCTTACAAAGTCCTATATCTCAAGGCTGGCCCTCGGCTGGTGTCTGGGATTTGGGGAGGTTTTCCACTACCCTAACTGATAAGAGCGACTCACTGACTGATAAAAGTGGCTCACTGTGCCGAAACTATTAGCATGTAAGATATGGTTTATGACTGGACCATGGCTGAACAGCTGCTTTCCTTCTGGGAGTTAGAAATTTTAATATATGCTACATAGAGGTGTCTAGGTAACTAGCCTCCATTAAAAACTCCGGGCAATGAATGTCTAATGAGCTTCCCTGGTGGACAGCACTACATACGTGTCACAATTTGATGCTGGGGAAATTAAATACATACTCTCCACTGAGAGAGGTTGCTTCGAAGCTTACACCTTGTTTCCTCAGGACTTCACCCCATGCACCTCTTCTCTGTACTGATCCTACTTTGTACCCTTTCACTGTAACAAATCATGGACATATGTATGATTATATGTTGAGTTCTGTGAGTACGCCTGATGAATCATTAAGCCTGTCCTTGGGGATCCCTGGTACAGTGAGTTTAAATAACTGAGGGTGCATATGTGTGTGTGTGTGTGTTTTACAGACAGACAGCAAAAGTAAAATCCCATGAACATTTGCAACAAAACTGAACAATCAGGGATCCCCACAAGCCCCAAAATACATGCTAATAGGTCAACCATTTAGCAGCCACAAGCCCTTCCCAGTATTAGTATCTATGGAAAAGGAGGCAAAAAGCAAGAACAGGGAATATGAGACAGCTCTGAGAATAGGAAAGCCCCAAATAGCCAATAGGTATTTAAAAAAAAAAAAAAAAGGCATAGTGAACAATTTGGCAAGCTCAGCTGAAACCAGGAATATCTGCTGGACTGGTGGGACTATCCAAAGGTCTACA